GTGCGTCAGGTGGTGCGCGCATGGTTGGGGTCCAACTGTGGCCTGGTGGGATCCGACCAGTGCCGAGGGAAGCGGGTGGTGTGGGGCAACGACCTGTTGTGGCGGCGCCTTGGGTAGGTCGCCCGGCGGGAGGAGGCGCGCGGGGCAGCGAGATCTAGGGAGGAGGGTGGCGGCACTCGGGGGAGGGGATCGAGGGAAGTCAGGGTGGGGATTGGGGCAACGGGTGAGGTGAGATGGGCTTTTGTCTGTAAAATCGGTCCGGTGGGTTTTTTCTGAATCTCAGGAACATCTCCGTCGCGCCCTTATAGGACTGACTGTGATCCAAATAGTTATTCTAATCCTGGGATTAGAATAGTGTTGTCTCCTCCATTCGGTCAATATATATACACCTCACCGGACTCTGCAACAGTTAAGTCTCCCTCCTCCATTCGGTCACCGGAGCCGTCATGATCTCCTTCCTCCTCCATTCGGTCACTAGAGCCGTCATGATCTCCTTCCTCCTCCATTGGATCACTGGGGCCATCATCCTCTCTTTCCTGACCATCGGTGTCGTTGAGAAACGACAAGGTGATATCACCTCTGCCGCAGACTATATCCCCCAACAACTCTTCTTTTTCTAAGTCTCTGTCCATTGTTTCTGCAAATATTACAACATGGCAATATACAAACAAGAGAGATGGATTAGTAGCAAACATGGACTTAATCACAACAAGGAATCATAGTGATAAAGTAAAGCAATTACATGGTGTATGAATTTCATACAATAAAGAGACAACCATTAGGCTCCTGCCGGTTGCCGATAACTTTAAAAGACATGATCATCTCATACAACAACGTATATCACATCTCATTTCTTGACCATATCACATCACAACATGCCCTGCAAAAATAAGTTAGATGTCCTCTACTTTATTGTTGCAAGTTTTACGTGCCTGCTAGGCGCTTCTAGCAAGAACCGTTCTTACCTATGCATCAAAACCACAACGGTGATTTATCAAGTTTTCTGTTTTAACCTTCAACAAGGACCGACCGCAGTCAAATTCGATTCAACTAAACTAGGAGAAACAAACACTCGCCAGCCCCCATTATGCAAAACTAGTTGCATGTCTGTCGGTGGAACCGGTCTCATGAACATGGCCACGTAAGGTTGGTTTGGGCCGCTTCATCCAACAATACCGCCGAATCAAAATAAGACATTGGTGGTAAGAAGTATGACGATCACCGCCCACAACTCTTTGTGTTGTACTTGTGCATATCATCTACGCATAGACCTGGCTCTGATGCCACTGTTGGGAAACGTAGCATGAAATTTCAAAAAAATTCCTACACTCACGCAAGATATATCTAGGAGATGCATAGCAACGAGAGGGGAGAGTGTGTCTACGTACCCTCATAGACCGTAAGTGGAAGCGTTTCACAACGCGATTGATGTAGTCAAACTTTCTTCAGGCTCCACCGATCGAGTACCGAACGTACGACACCTCCAAGTTCTGCACACGTTCAGCTCGGTGACGTTCCTCGCCTTCTTGATCTAGCAAGGTGTCGAGGTAGTAGATGAGTTCTGTCAGCACGACGGCGTGGTGACAGTGATGGTGAAGTGATCCACACAGGGCTTCACCTAAGCACTATGAAGATATTACCGGAGGCATGAACTATTGAGGGGGGGCGCCACACACGACTATGCAATAGTCTGGGGTGTGCTAGGGGCGCCCCACCACATACATATAGGTTGGGGGAGAGGGGAGGCACCCAAGTAGTTCGAATCCTACTTGGGGCCTTCCCATGGCCGGCGCCCCCCCTTCCTTATTTACCGGAGGGGGAAGGAAAGAGGAGGGAGGAGGGAAGGAAGGGGGAGGCCAAATCCCCCCTTTCCTTCTCCCTTCCCTTCTTTCCTTCTCCTCTGGTGTGGCCCATATGGGGGCGCAACAGCCCCTGGTGGTTGTTGCGTTTCCCCTCTTGGCCCATAAGGCCCATATCTTTTGCCGGGGGTGCGCGGAACCCCTTCCGGTGAGCCGATATGTACCCAGTACCCTCAGGAACACTTCCGGTGTCCGAACACCATCATCCAATATATGAATCTTTACCTCTCGACCATTTCAAGACTCGTCATGTCTGTGATCTCATCCAGGACTCCGACAACATTCAGTCACCAAATCACATAACTCATATAATACAATAGCGTCATCGAACGTTATGCGTGCGGACCCTACGAGTTCGAGAACTATGTAGACATGACCGAGACACCTCTCCGGTCAATTAGCAATAGCGGAACCTGGATGCTCATCTTGGCTCCTACATATTCTACAAATATCTTTATCCGTCAAACCGTTATGACAACATACACAATTCCCTTTGTCCATCGGTATGTTACTTGCCCGAGATTCGATCGTCGTTATCTTCACACCTAGTTCAATCTCATTACATGAAAGTCTCTTTACTCGTTCCGTAATACATCATCTTGTGACTAACTCCTTAGTCATTTGCTTGGAAGCTTATGATGTGCATTACCGAGAGGGCCCAAAGATACCTCTCCGATACTCGGAGTGACAAATCCTAATCTCGATATATGCCAACTCAACAAACACCTTTGAAGATACCTGTAGAGCATCTTTATAATCATCCAGTTACGTTGTGATGTTTGATAGCACACAAGGCATTCCTCCGGTATCAGGGAGTTGCATAATCTCATTGTTGAAGGAATATGCATTTGACATGAAGAAAGCAATAGCAATAAAACTGAACGATCATTATGCTAAGCTAATGGATGGGTCTTGTCCATCACATCATTCTCCTAATGATGTGATCTCGTTATCAAATGACAACTCAGGTCTATGGTTAGGAAACGTTAACCATCTTTGATCAACAAGCTAGTCAAGTAGAGGCTCACTAGGGAAACAATGTTTGTCTATGTATACACACATGTATTTAGGTTTTCGATCAATACAATTCTATTTTATTAATAAACATTTATCATGAATAAGGAAATATAAAATAACAACTTTGTTATTGCCTCCAGGGCATATTTCCTTCAAAAATATCGAACGAATACCAAATTCACATATCACTTATAACAAGACTTCTCTGATGTCCTCAAGAACAAAAGTAACTACTCACAAATCATATTCATGTTCAAGATCAAAGGGCTATTGAATACCATTAAGGATCTGAACATATATCTTCCACCAAATAAACCAACTAGCATCAACTACAAGATGTAATCAACACTACTAGCAACCCACAGGTTCCAATCTGAGGTTTTGAGACAAAGATTGAGTACAAGAGATGAAATAGGGTTTGAGATGAGATGGTGCTGGTGAAGATGTTGATTGGTCCTTCCCATGATGATAGGATCATTTGTGTTGAAGATGGCTTCGATTTCCCCCTCCCAGAGGGATGTTTCCCTGGCGGAATCGCTCCTGCCAGGTTCCGCCTCGAGACGGCAACGCTTCATCCTGAAACCTTTCTTATGATTTTTTCCAGGTCAAATGGCATCATATAGCATAAGATGGGCTCCGGAGGCCTGCTAGGGGCTCCACAAGCTCGGGGGGTGTGCCCTGGGGGTAGGGTACGCCCCCAGGCTTGTGGCTTCCTGGTGGGTCCCATCTGGTAATTCTTTTGCCAATATTTTTTATATATTCCAAAATAATTCTCCGTGGATGTTCAGGTCATTTGGAGTTGTGCCGAATAGGTGTCTCCAACATAGCCCTTTACGGTCCAGAATTCCAACTGCCAGCAATCTCCCTCTTCATGTGAAACTTGAAAAATAAGAGAGAAAAGGCATACGAATTGTATCATAAAGTGAAATAACAGTCCATAATGCAATAAACATTGGTAGGAAAACATGATGCAAAATGGACGTATCCCGTACCAGCGCTCGTCGAGCTGGTTCATGCTCACGACCCTGCTCTTGAGTGTCGGGAAGAAGAAGAAATTCGTGAAGGCCCTGCGGTTACCCTGTTGTGTGCGAAGACGACAGTCCCGCGCCTGTGGATGTGGACCACCGAGCCGTCCACGAACATCACCTTCCCGACTCAAAACAAATCCATCGCCCTCTTCCAGCTCATACCGGCTAGCCCTCAATCAAAGACCAAATTTGTAAATCAAAGAATTAAAACCAAACTTGATTGTTCAAATCAGTATCACCACAAAATAATCTAAAATGGGCTCTTATCAAGAAAACTTAATTTCTAGGGTTTTCCATTTCCCAACTAGCTGCCACTGGCATGAATCCAATCCTTAATAAACACTGATATTGATTGCAAACTGGAGCATCTCAACAAACAAAAGTTCAGTCACTCAAGCGCCCATTCAATTGACTTATAAACGAATCCTAATCGTTAGGGTTTCGATTAGAAACATGCCGGTCGGCTAACGATTTCAGATTGTTCTTGCATATGGGTGGAAGGGCTTCCCGATAGAATCACTATGCTGGGCCATCGGAGCTGAGGAGGATAGTCAGAGTGGTCGGTAGGGCTGCTAGGGGCACGGTGGTGGCGACATGGGGTTGGTGGGGGATGCCATGGCTCACTCAGGGGAACGCTAATTTAGGCGAAGGAAAGTGGTACCTCACCTAGCCCAGGTCCTAGTCGTCATAAGAATCGATGGCCATGGCCCACCTGTCTTAAGATCTCCGACCCAACACGTCAGTAACCGAGTAGGTAACGGTCAACTGCTTGGACACGAGAGCCAGGCTCCGTTTGGGCTTTTGTGAAAATGGGGCAAGTGGTGGAGGGGAAAAGTGAGAAAATTTAGATGCCTTGGGAAAAACTAAGCACGACTAAGGAACCGAGGGCACAGAAATAGAAATCCCCTTTTTAATCTTTTTTTCTTTGTTCAACTACAACTCTTTCCTTGGATAATTTCAATTTGCGACAAGTATTACTTCAAACAAGTTTATTCATTGCTAAATAAGCAGATGTCCATTATTTCCTCACGACAACATAAGTAATATATCTCAAACAACGGGACATGACCCACATATGGACTAGGTATGAGTTTCACTACTTTTCTTCCTTAGTTTGTGATTCGACTGAAGACAAATGCGGCTGCGGTGGTGGCACATTTGAGCCCATGGACTCTAAGGACAATCGGTTTGCAATTTCTTGGTTGATCCGCGTGAGCTCTTGGCAGTACTCCTTGCACTCCTCAAGTGTAAGATCCTCTTCATTCATGAAGAGATACCTGGCCACAGTTCCGGAGCTCTCTTTCTTGGCCTTCTCAAAGCGTTGGTTGGTCTCTTTTGCTCTCTCTTTCTCCGCTGCAACCACTCTCTCTAACCGGGCTACCTCTTCTTTCAACCATGCAATCCTTACCTTCTTTGCCTCATACTCAATCTTCCCCACAACAGACCACCTGCCTCTCTTTGGCATACTCAAAGTGGAGATGATCTAAAGTGATTTTTGACTAGATGACAAGAAGTATCTTTCTCGAGATATTTCACTCGGGAAAGATATGGGTTGTGTTTTGAATGACGGGAGGGTGACCCTTTATATAGATGGAAGCGGGGTCCATACTAAAATCGTCTATCAATGTCCTCTAAAGAAAAATATGGTACGCAAGAACGACAATTGTAATTATTTGCCAAACATAGGACGATGGATAAGGACACCTCCAATTAATCATAGAGAAACTTATGTACACATTTAGAGCATTTCAATTTTTGGCTAAAAATATGCTCCACGACAATGAAGGTCATAATTATTTGCTAAACATAGATCATTGGATAAGGTCACTTGAAATTAATCATGGAGAAAAATATGTACACATTTGCAACATTGTACTAGCTTAATTACATGTTCTTGATTACACACAGATTAACAAGCTTTTAAGAGCACACTCTTTATAATTATTAGGTAAAAAAGAATGTCCAAATGTTCGTAATTCTATTAACAGTGAGATGCAACATAAAACATAATTTAAGATTAGTTTTTACCAACCCATGTAATAGTACTTTTTAAAATTTCCAAGCATCTCGTGCATCGGTACATCACCAATTTATCTATAAATGAGTATGTTTCTGAATATTATCCTTTAGTTATGTAATGTTTTATGTTTTAAAATCTGTTTGAGGGACTAACTAATACGTCTCCAACGTATCTATAAATTTTTGATTGTTCCATGCTGTTATATTATCATTCTTAGATCTTTTACAATCATTTTATAGCAACTTCATATCATTTTTTGGGACTAACCTATTGACATAGTGCCCAATGTCAATTGATGTTTTTTGCTTGTTTTTTACTTCACAGAAAATCAATATCAAACGGAGTCCAAACACAGTGAAACCTTTTAGCAATTTTTTCTGGACCAGAAGACACCTGTTGGGCCCAAGAAGTACCAGAGGGGCTCGGAGGGGAGCACTACCCACCTGGGCGCGCTTGGGGGCCCAGGCGGGCCCTTGTCGGTTGTTCCCAGCTCATCCGCCTCCCGCATTGCCTCTTTGCTCTAAAAATACCCTGAAAATCCAAAAACCCTAGGGGAATCGATGAAACACAATTCCAGCCGCCAGTTCCAGAAACCACAGATCTAATCTAGACACCATCGCGGAGGGTGTCGTGGAATTATCATGTCAGATGTCCTAACATAAGGACTTAGGTGTGGATCCATCGCAACGTAGTTAGCTTGAAGGGGTTAAACGGGACAAGGGACACGGAGAGTTTATACTGGTTCGGCCCCTCACGGTGGAGGTAACAGCCTAATCCAGTGTAGGGTGGTTATTGCTTGGGATTTGATTACCAGGGAGCGAATACACTTGACCTAGTTCTCGATCTCTTTCTTTCCCGCCCTAACTCGTCGCCAGGTCGTCCCTTTATATACACAGCTTAATACCCGGTGGCTTACAGAGTCCTGACCGGATCATAGACAACATTTCCGACTCGCTGACTAACTAATCCTGCCTTACAATACAAGTTTATCCTCATGGCGGTTCATCCTTCTGGGCCCTAAGTCACCTCTGGGTCTTGGGCCGTCAGCGGGCTTGTTATGACCCGCCCACTTCATGGTTTATCACTATTGGTATGACCCGACCCCTCCTGGGTGGATCATACCTAGTAGCTATATCCCCAACATTAGGCCCCATGTTGATTTGAACTTGTTCATATCAATCTTCAACACTTGATTTGTAAAACCTGCACCACTTGTTGTAACCCGCCGTGATGTCAGCTCTTGGAATCCTCTTAAATCGCCATGACATCATTTCGCCTTAACTCTGCACTAGGCCCAGAGCATCTTAACCGATCCTTATCTTAATGAACATCCCAAAAATCGAGGCGTCCCTATAGCCATGCGATGATTTCGGCCTCCTCGATTCCTGTGCATGCCTTGTATTCACCCCCCTTATAAATAGGGACGGGGGTCTCTCTCATTTTCCCCCTGCTTCCTTGTTCGTCTTTGTCTTCCTCTCAGCCGCACGAGCGCTCGGACTATGCCGTCGCAACCTCCAACTGCACCACTTGTTGTAACCCGCTATGACGTCAGCTCTTGGAATCCTCTTAAACTGCCATGACATCATTTTGCCTTAACTCTGCAGTAGGCCCAGAGCATCTTAACTGATCCTTATCTTAATGAACACCCCGAAAACCGAGGCGTCCTATAGCCAGGTGTTGATTTCGGCCTCCTCGATTCCTATGCACGCACTACAAAAAAAATACACTTTTGTGATGATACGTGTTTGTCACAGTAGGTCACGGTTTTTTGTCATGCATGTACATCCATGACAGAATCAAGATAGTCATACCTGTGCTGTCATAGAAGTGTTCCATGACATTACCAAAATTATCATCACAGAAGTGTCCACTTCCATGACGATAAATCGCGCGTCACAGAAGTGCTTTCGTCAAGGGTGACCGACATGTGGCATCCACCATAACAGAACGCCGTTAAGCTACCGGGTCGGGTTTTGGATCCGATAACCCGTTAACAGTCCAGACCAATGGGGATTTTCCACATGTAAAATCATCATTGGCTGGAGGAGACACGTGTCAGGTCCGCGTTGGCACAGGTGTCACTCATCTAATGGGCGAGACGCGCCTATGATATGTTGACACGTGGACCGGCCCATCAAGTTTAAATGGGTTGGCCCAACTAAAGGCCCACAAGATTTTGCGGACCATAATGGGCCGGCCCAGCTAAAGGCCCACGAGATTTTGTAGACCATAATGGGCTGGCCCAGCTAAAGGCCCACAAGATTTTGCGGGCCATAATGGGCCGTCCCAGGTAAAGGCCCACAAGATTTTTGTGTGCCATAATGGGCCGGCCCAGGTAAAGGCCCACAAGATTCTTGTGGATCATAATGGGCCGGGCCAGCTAAAGGCCCACGAGATTTCACCGACATTAATGGGCCGGCCCAGCTGTAGGCCCACAAGATTTTGAGGAACCTAGTAGGCTGGCCCATTAACTCGTTGCCATGTTTTGGGCCAAATGCCGGCCCATATTTGTTCCGGTCCATTAATGGCCTGCCATGTTCCGGGCCTAATAATGGCCCATATGAGATCCGGCCTGTTAAAAGCCTACCATGTTCTGGGCCAAATTACGGCCCAGATCAGGTCTGGCCCTTTAAGAGTCTTTGGGCTCAATTGTGGCCCATATCAGATTCGGCCCGTCAACTGGATGCTATGCTTTTGGGCCCACTTGCTAAAGGCCCACTTAATAATTTGGCCTGATATTAGTTTCAGCCTGTTAAGGAACCGTTTAACATTTCGGCCCTATATTAATTTCGGCCTGTTAAAAGCCTGTCATATAGTAGGGCCTAACTTCGTCCTGGTTTGCATCCGGCCTGCTCGCAGCCGATATCAGCTTGGGCTAAACAAGGACCGAGACAATTTTGGCCTGTTAAAAGCCCATGATTTGATTCACACAATCATGGGTCCGGGTCCATTTCGGGCTGCTGCCGGCCCGTGAGCTGTTCGGCACGTTTAAGGGCCAACCTACATCGTGATTGCATGACGACCCGATTATGTACCTGATACGTCTCCAACGTATCTATAATTTTTAATTGTTCTGTGCTATTATATTACGCCTTTTGGATGTTTATGGGCTTTATTTTACACATTTATATCATTTTGGGACTAACCTACTAACCGGAGGCCCAGCCCGTATTGCTGTTTTTTTGCCTATTTCAGTATTTCGAAGAAAAGGAATATCAAATGGAGTCCAAACGGAATGAAACCTTCGGGAGCGTGATTTTCGGAACGAACGTGATCCAGAGGACTTGGAGTGAAAGTCAAGAAGCAGCCGAGGCCTCCACGAGATAGGAGGGCGCCCCCCCTATAGGGCGCACCCCCTATCTCGTGGGCCCCTCGGGCGTCCACCGACGTACTTCTTCCTCCTATATAAGCCTACGTACCCCGAAAACATCCAGGGAGCCACCGAAACACAATTTCCACCGTCGTAATCTTCTGTATCCGCGAGATCCCATCTTGGAGCCTTCGCCGGCGTTCCACCGAAGGGGGAATCGACCAAGGAGGGCTTCTACATCAACATCCTTGCCCCTCCGATGAGTTGTGAGTAGTTTACCACAGACCTATGGGTCCGTAGTTATTAGCTAGATAGCTTCTTCTTTCTTTTTGGATCTCAATACAATGTTCTCCCCCTCTCTTGTGGAGATCTATTCGATGTAAACTCTTTTTGCGGTGTGTTTGTCGAGATCCGATGAATTGATGGGTTTATGATCAAGTTTATCTATGAATAATATTTGAATCTTCTCTGAATTCTTTTATGTATGATTGATTTATCTTTGCAAGTCTCTTCGAATTATCAATTTGGTTTGGCCTACTAGATTGATCTTTCTTGCCATGGGAGAAGTGCTTAGCTTTGGGTTCAATCTTGCTGTGTCTTTACCCAGTAACAAAAAGGGTTGCAAGGCACATATTGTATTGTTGCCATCGAGGATAACAAGATGGGGTTTATATCATATTTCTTGAGTTTATCCCTCGACATCTTGTCATCTTGCTTAATGCGTTACTCTGTTCTTATGAACGTAATACTCTAGATGCAGGCAGGAGTCGGTCGATGTGTGGAGTAATAGTAGTAGATGCAGGCAGGAGTTGGTCTACTTGTTGCGGACGTGATGCCTATATACATGATCATGGCTAGATAATCTCATAATTATTCGCTTTTCTATCAACTGCTTGACAGTAATTTGTTCACCCACCATAATACTTATGCTACCTTGAGAGAAGCCATTAGTGAAACCTATGCCCCCGGGTCTATCTCTTATCATATTTGCTTCCAATCTACTTTTATTTGCATCTTTACTTTTTGCATCTATATTATAAAATACCAAAAATATATTTATCTTATCATACTATCTTTATTACATCTCACTTTCGCAAGTGGCCGTGAAGCGATTGACAACCCCTTTATTGTGTTG